TTCAAAAGGGCTTAACAATCAATGCAGATTTTTTTAAAAGCGTTGTCGCTGTTGTAGTGTTGTCATGGGAAGGCGATGGCCTAGTGGTATTATCGCTGGACTGTTAATCCAGAGACCCAGATAGTGTTCTGGGGACCCGGGTTCGAATCCCGACATGGCAGATGGTGGAATTTGAATTCAATAAAGTATCTGGAAGTAGGAGTCTAGTGATGACCATAAATCCATTGTCGATAAAACCCATCTGGTTCACTGATGTTCTTTAGGGAAGGAAACTGCCATCCTTACCTGGTATGGCCGACATGTAACTCCAGACCCACAGCAATGTGGCTGACTCTTAACTGCCCTCTGGGCAATAAAAGCTGCCTAGCCAGCGACACCCTCATACCATTAGTGAATAAAATAAAAAATGTTGGAAACCTGGCCATTATTTTGTGCACTGCCAGCTCCCACTGTGATAATCACCTGATTATCCGTTTTTTAGGAGTTGGTTGAGGCATAAATATTGGCCAGGACTCTGGAATAACTCCCCTTTCTCCTTCAAAGGAGTGCCAGCAGATATTTTAATTTCACTGAGGGGACAGAAAAGCTCTCGGTTTAATATCTCACCTGAAAGTACTGCACTGGAGTGCCAGCCTACATGGCAAGCTCAATTTTCTGGAATGTAACTTGAACCCATGGCTTCTGACTTTGGGATAGAATAGCTCAACGATTCTAACTAGAATAGCAATGCAGAAACCTGGATTAATAATCTTCAGTCTAGTTGAAAAGCCAACACAGCGGCTGGACAATTTATGTCCAGCAATAAATGCTGGAATGCTGGCTTTGACAGTGACACTCCTATCTCATGAAGGAATAAGAAAGAATGCCAAGAGTGGTACCCACTGAGCTACTGCTGCTATGTAACCAGGAGTAGCGAATGAACTTCCATACAGTAGGAAGAATGTATGCAAATACAGCCTGCGAGGAAATTTCTAACAAGTACTGAACTTAAAGTCAGGGAAAAGATTAGCTTCAATATAATATAGTTCAGAGCTCTATTCATTGTTCCCAGTTACTGGCTCATATTGGGATAAGACACTCTGCAGTACTATTCTCCAAGTGAGTATGAATGATAGGTGCAGGAGCATTCAGATCAGGTCTCTGAATTATTTTTGTCTGGCATTTGTCTGCAGTGTCTAATATTTTTCTACACTGAGCACTTAGTATTCCAAGCCTGTCATTCACAGGCCCAGGCAGTATATACAAAGTACGAGTTGCAACTAAACCACTGATAGTCACTCCAGGTCTGTTGATTTTTGATTCAGGAGTCACAAAGTCACTGCTGAAACTCCTATGCACTGTTAGGAGTGTAACACGCTAGCAAGGATGGCGCATCTGGGGTGGGATGTTAAATCGAGGCACCATCTACTTGTAGAGACAACCACAGAAGATCAAGCCGGACCATTCAAATGGGACCAGTCTTCATGTCTAGCTGACCTTGATCTTACAGCCCACAGTGTAGGAGGACCAACACCTTAGAGAGAGGGATTGTCACGCTACTCCCCCACTCCCATCTGGTCATACAATCACTGCATTTCAAATTATTTCTCCCTGTACTATTGGATATTCCTGCCAAGTCTAATATGGAGCTACCTCTCAATGCATTTCGATCTTGGTCCACAAGAGGCAGCTTTCTAATGCAGGTTCAGATGTTTACGGTGAGTTGGATGATGAGTGCAACTACAGATTGATACTTTCCTGCACCATGTCTCCAACACAGCTGGGTTCAGTCAGTTGGCGGGTACAGTGCAGTATCAAACCGAGCTGTGTAAACAAGGCAAGAGTAGCATAAAACCATGTGTGCAGGCAATTTGTACCACAGCTTGTCCAAACAAACTGCATGATGTGACAATTCCCCAGGATGCAGGCAGTTCCCAGGGTGGACCAAACTGGTCAGCCAGACTGGATACTATAATCAGCCTCAATGGCCCTGGGCTGGGAAGGTGGGAGACAAAAGGCAATAGAAAATGGCAGGACCGCTCACTCCCGAGGGGGCTACCCAATGACCCCACTCATCCAATTGTGCCTCATTTGAGCATCGCAACAACTTCAACGTTGGAGTACCTAAAACAAGGAACACAACACAACCTCCCTGCTTGATGAGAGTAACGGAAGAGATAACAAACAGCTAAATATTCCCTCAATTCCTCACCGCATCCCCCCCCACAGCAGAGGCTGTGACTGTAGTACCTTCATCATCATCGTCATCGTCACTGGATTCACTGACATGTACGCTCACTGTGGTATTCGGAGAATCTGTCCATTCGAAGCAGACACCAAAGCCTATGTCATAATTGTCTGTAGCAAATTCCCAGAAGAGATAAGCGCCCTCTTCATGAGTAGGCACCCGCACGGTTACTACCTCTCCCCTGCCCACCGTGATGACAGAGTCTGCGTCTTGCCGAATCTTCTCCTTGAAGTCTTTGATTTGTGGTCGGGTCCACATGGAGGGAGCAGCTATGACCGGAGCTGTGTCTGCAGGAAGACAGAAACAAGAACTGAATTGACAAGGCAAAAAAACCCAATGGAAAACAGGTTAACTGAGACTGGAATCAGATCTCCAGTTATGAGCTTGTGTTCCCCCAGTATTAACTGCTCCAGCTCTGGGCCTAAAGCTCTGGAATTCCTCTTCTCCTGAAGCTCTTCAAAGCCTACTACTCTGACCAAGTTTACTGGTCACTTTTTCCAAAAACTAATTGGTTCAGTGCTAACTATTTGGATCCTTCAGAAGCACATGGTATGTTCTACTACTGTAATGGTGCAAAACAAGTGAAAGTTATTTTGTTACCCTCTACATGTTCTCTCCATTTTAAACATGTATTAACATGTCACTTGCCAGTGTTGAACTGGCGAACTGGCAAACTGCCCATTCCCCCAGCCAACCCATTACCAACCTAGCTGCTGAGTCTGGGGATGGACCAAACCAGGGCAGGATAAAAAAAACAATGGGTTGAAATAATAAGATTCAAATCAGCGTTCCCAAAGAAGCAACTATTGTCTTAGGGACTAGGTTAGCAAGTTTGGTTGCAATGAGGGCTGTCAGACTAAGAACCAGGCAGTGGTTCAAGCAGAGGCCATAACATATTTTGGGCAATCAATGGATAAATATTTAAAATAGACAGCACGGGATAGAGAGAGAAAACAAGGGTCATGCAAAGTACCAAATCAGATACAATGAGCTGCATGCTCTCCTTGTGCTGTTAATCCTCTACAGCAGAACAAAGTTAGAAGCAGTTTGCAATAGAGACAGCGTGACAGGAACCAAGTTCAGTAAGCTCATTTTCATTGGGTGGTAACAAGGCTGTAATTTGAGGGGGGTGCTGGAGGATGTTTGGACATGCAAATACAGACAGTAGTTTGGGAAGGGAGGGTGTTCAATTCCTGTACTCATGGGTCCCACCGTTTTAACCTCAGCCCCCATCGGAGGTACAATTACTCTCAGGTTAAACTGTCCGTCAGTTGTCTGTCTCTCTCTCTTTCTTTCTAATGAGGGGGCAGCCTATGGCCCCATGGCGACTTCCATTTCCAAGTCACTCCCCCTACTCTACCTCAACTTTGCTGGCCTTTTATAGGCTGCCTGGAAGTTTTGCTTCAGCTGTGTTCTACACTCCCTTCTCCCAACTATCAAATTCCTTTGTGCAACTTCTACTCAAAGACATCTTTCTTTGTATACAAAGGGCTACACAAACAAGTTGCTATAGCTATTCATTCTCAGATGTACTAATTAGATTATATCTGAAACGGTTATATAATCATTGCAAAAGGCGGCTTTAAATTGAGATCCAGTTGTTAATTGAATCAGATTACAGAGGATTGGAATGAAAATATTTCTGTGATGTTCTACATGACCCTGTATGATTTCAGGGACAAACACCTCCAAACCAAGATGAGGCAAATAACCATTTCAGGCCCAGTAACATCGAAAAGCAAACGTTCAGGATTTCCACTGAGTACATCTGATGCCAATACTTTGTAAGCTGCATGCACAACGTTAAATGCATCATGTAGGTTAGCCCTGTGTGCATGAGAGTACTGGCAATTCAAATAAACAGGCTGTGCAAATAGAAACTGCTGGTTAGTACTTTACCTTTCTGCACTTAGCAACTCTTGATGTTCTAAATCTAAACATGTGTGAGTAAAGAACAAATCTCAGGCTGTGCATTTAGGAACAGGAGTAGGCCATTAACCACTCAAGCCTGTTCTACCATTCAATGATATCATGGCTGATCTGTGACCTAACTTCCTGTACCTGCCTTTGGCCACATCTTTTCATACCTTAACAAAAATGCATCTGTTTTAAAACTAACATCTAATCCAGCATCCACTGCTATCTGCAGAACAGAGTTCCAAACATCTACCACCCTTTCTAACATCTTGCCTGAATGCTCTGGTCCTAATTCTCAGATTGTGCCCCCTAATTCTCCAATCCCCAGCCTGTAGAAATAATTTGTCCACCCTTCCTTGTTAATATCCTGAAGATGTTAATCAGATCATGTGCAGAACCAGAAAACACCATTCCACCTTGTTCATGTCGCGGCAGTTGTCTGATGCATTTCTCCTCATGACAATTTCACCTGGTGCTGGCAAACCATTTAGGACTGAGGGGAGGAAGAAGCTCAGAGACCATAAGACATAAGAGCAGAAACAGGCCATTCAGCTGGTGAAGTCTGCTCTAACATTCAATCAGGTCACGGCTGATCTGATAATCTTCAACTCGACTTTCCTGCCCTTTCCCCATAATCTTTAATTCCCTAACTGATTAAAAATCTGTCTACCTCCGCCTTGAATACACTTAACAACCTAACTCAGGCAGCCCTCTGCAGTGAAGGATTCCACAGATCTACTACTGTCTGAGAGAAGAAATTCCTCATCTGTCTTCAATGGACAACCACCCCATTATGGGGTGGTGAATCTTTGGAATATTAGTCCGGGCCTCGGGGGTCATTAGTCCAGCAACATCACGACCCCCTTTGCCACTGGCCACCAGATTGTCACAGATTACCATCTTCTCCAATGAGACTTTTTTTTTAAGCTGTTTTAGCCAATGTAATGCTTTTACTTCCTAACCTTTTTAGCAGCCTTTACCTGCATGTTCAAAGTCAACATTCTTGTTTCTGGAATGAGGCCTTCAATGTTACATAATACATAAATTGGAACTTGGCAAATATCACAGCAGCACTGCTTTTTTTTTAAAAAAAAAAGTCCCCATTCTAGTCCTCCTCTACACAATATCACAAGCTTATTTTTAAAGTCCAGATGTCCAGACATTGGCTGAAAGGGCTGAAGGAGAGAGAAATGTAGGTCACTGGATTTGGACAACTTCTAGTTCTTCTAGAACAGAACAGAGGTTGGTTAATCCATTACCTTTTGGTCCATTTTCCAACACTTCTTCTGAAGATTCTGGCTCTGGCTCTTTTTCTGAAAGGTCTGAATGTGTAGTTGTCTGTCCATTCACTGTCGGTACCTCTCCTACCCCAATGTGGGTTGATGATACTATTGGCTCCTGCTGTTTCTGTAGTGTTGCCTGCAGGGACCAGGGAAACCCAAACACAACATAAGTTTAGGTACAAATAGCAGGCTCACTAAGACACTGTTTATGTCGTCTTCTCCTTTCTCTCCCTTGAGAAAAATGTGCTTTTTGGTCAAAGACAGGATCAAATGGAGATAATGGTCAAGGAGAATTTAGACAGGTGTCCAGCAGAAGTTAACGGATGGCACTTTTTTTCAAGTCACTCATGGGACGTGGTTGCTGATGGCTGGAGCAGTGTGTATTGCCTGTCTCTAGTTGTCCTTGAGAAGGTGGTGGTGAGCTGCCAATTTGAACCACTGCATCCATGTGCTGTACGTAGACCCACAATACCCTTACGGAAGGAATTCCAGGATTTTAACTGACCGACAGTGAAGGAATGGCGATATATTTCCAAGTCAGGATGGTGAGTGGCTTGGAGGGGAGCTTGCAAGTGATAGTGCTCCCATGTATCTGCTGCCCATGTCCTTCTAAATAGAAGTAGTTTAGGTTTGGAAAGGGCTGCCAAAGATTCTTTGTTGAGTTTCTGTAGTGCATCTTGTAGATAGTAGACACTGCTGCCACGGAGCATTGGTGATGGAGGTAGTGGATGTTTGTGGAATAAACAAAATAAGTTGAGGATGACCAAAGTAATGGACAAGGGTAGATGACACCTTGCATACCTGACATCTGGTTATTGGCCAGATAGGGTCGAACAAACAATTGATGTAGGCTAAAGTACCAGCTCCAGGTAACAAGGAGATTAACAGATAGAATGAAAAAACATGACTTATCTGAACAATGTCATTTTTAAACTGTTGCTTCTTAAACCATAATACTCAACCTACTTGAAAACCATCTTCAAGCCCAATTCCCTTCATTTTTGGTGGTGGTGGTGGTGGTGGTGGGGGGACGGAGCTCCCAAACCTTAATCTTACTACAGACAGACATGGACTCAATGGGCTGAACATTATGATTATAGAATCCAATACAGCCAATCTGAATTGCTGAGATTGAAAAGAGATTGGTAAAGACAAATGTAGGTCCCCTACAGACAGAAACGGGGGCATGTATAATAGTGGATAAAGAAATGGCTGAGGAACAGAATACATACTTTGGTTCTGTCTTCACAAAAGAGGACATAAATCAGATACCAGAACTGTTGGAGGAGGCAAGATTTAGTGAGTGGGAAGAGCTGAGGGAGACCAATATTAGTAGATAAATGGTGCTGGGAAAATTGTTGGGATTGAAGGCTGATAACTCCCCAGGGCCTGATAATCTACATCCCAGAGTACTTAAGGAAGTAGTTCTAGAAATACTGGATGCATTGGTGGTCATCTTCCAGGATTCTACAGAGTCTGGAACAGACCAAGCAGATTGGTGGGTGGCTAATGTCACTCCAATATTCAAAATGGGAGGAAGAGAGAAAACAGCGATTTATAGACTGGGGAGGGTTCTGAGGAAGGGTCACTGGACCCAAAACGTTAACTCTGATTTTTTTTCTTCACAGATGCTGCCAGACTTGCTGAGCTTTTCCAGCAACTTTGTTTTTGTTCATTATAGACCGGTAAGCCTAACATCAGTAGTGGGGAAAATTCTCAAATCCATTGTCAAGGATTTTATAGCAGAGCATTTAGAAAGCAGTGGCAGGATCAGACAGAGTCAGCATTGATTTATGAAGGGGAAATCATGCTTGACAAATCTGTTGGAATTCTATGAAAATGTAACCAATAGAGTTGACAAGCGGGAGCCAGTCAATATAGTGTATTTGGACTTTTAGAAAGCCTTTGACAAAGTCCCACATAAGAGATTAATGTGCAAGATTAAAGCGCATGGGATTGGGGTGAAGTCTAATGAAATGGATAGGAGATAACAAGGTGTAGAGCTGGATGAACACAGCAGGCCAAGCAGCATCAGAGGAGCAGGAAAGCTGACCTTTCGGGCCTAGACCCTTCTTCAGAAATGGGGGAGGGGAAGGGGGTTCTGAAATAAATAGGGTATACTGTATCCGCTGTTCCCGTTGTGGCCTCCTCTACATCGGGGAAACCAAGCGGAGGCTTGGGGACCGCTTTGCGGAACACCTACGCTCGGTTCGCACTAAACAACTGCGCCTCCCAGTCGCGAACCATTTCAATTCCCCCTCCCATTCCGCAGATGACATGTCCATCCTGGGCCTCCTGCAGTGCCACAACGATGCCACCTGAATGTTGCAGGAACAGCAACTCATATTTCGCTTGGGAACCCTGCAGCCCAATGGTATCAATGTGGACTTCACAAGCTTCAAAATCTCCCCTCCCCCTACCGCATCCCAAAACCAGCCCAGCTTGTCCCCACCTCCCTAACATGTCCCTCCTCCCACCTATCCCCTCCTTCCACCTCAAGCCCCACTCCCATCTCCTACCCACTAGCCTCATCCCACCCCCTTGACCTGTCCGTCCTCCCTGGACTGACCTACCCCTCCCTAACTCCCCACCTACACTCACCTTTACTGGCTCCATCCCCGCCTCTTTGACCTGTCTGTCTCCTCTCCACCTATCTTCTCCTTTATCCATCTTTTATCCACCTCCCCCTCTCTCCCTATTTATTTCAGAACCTCCTTCCCCTCCCCCATTTCTGAAGGAGGGTCTAGGCCCGAAACGTCAGCTTTCCTGCTCCTCTGATGCTGCTTGGCCTGCTGTGTTCATCCAGCTCTACACTTTGTTATCTCAGATTCTCCAGCATCTGCAGTTCCTACTATCTCTGAAATGAATACGAAACTGGTTGGCAGAGAGTCAACAAAGAGTAGGAATTAATGGGTCCTTTTCAAATTGGCAGGCAGTGACGAGTGGGGTGCCACAGGGATCGGTGTTGGGACCTCAGCTATTCACAATATATATTAATGATTTGGATGAGGGATCAAAACGTAACATCTCAAAGTTTGCAGATGATACCAAGTTGGGTGGGAGGGTGAACTGTGACGAGGATGCAGAGATCCTTCAGCATGATCTTGACAGATTGGAATAGTGGGCGAATCAATGGCAGATGTGGTATAATTTGGAAAAATGTGAAGTTATTCACTTCAGAAGCAATAACAAGGCAGCAGATTACTACCTGAATGGCCGTAAGTTGGGAGAGGGGAGTGTGCAGTGGGACCTGGTTGTCCTTGTGCACCAGTCGCTGAAGGTAAGCATGCAGGTGCAGCGGGCGGTAAAGAAGGCAAATGGTATGGTGGCCTTCATTGCGAGAGGTTTCGAGTACAGGAGCAGGGATGCGTTGTTGCAGTTGTACAGGGCCTTGGTGAGACCACATCCGGAATATTGTGCGCAGTTTTGGTCTCCTTTTCTGAGGAAGGATGCTCTTGCTCTAGAGGGAGTGCAGCAAAGGTTTACCAGGCTGATTCCGGGAATGGCGGGACTGACGTATGAGGAGAGATTGACTAGGTTGGAATTGTTTTCGCTGGACTTCAGATGAATAAGGGCGGGGGGGATCTCGGAGACTTATAAAATTCTGAAAGGACTAGACAGGGTAGATGCAGGGAGGGTGTTCCCAATGGTGGGTGTGTCCAGAACCAGGAGTCACAGTATTAGGATTCGGGGTAGATAATTTAGGACTGAGATGAGGAGACATTTCTTCACAAAAAGAGTGGTGAGCCTGTGGAATTCATTACCACAGGAAGTAGCTCATGCCAAAACACTGAATGTATTCAAGCGGTGATTAGATATAACACTTGTGGGTGAATGGGATCAATGTTTATGGAGAGAAAGCAGGATTAGGCTATTGATTTGGACGATCAACCATCATTACGAAGAATGGCAGAGCAGGCTCGAAGGGCTGAATGGCCTCCTCCTGCTCCTATCTTCTATGTTTCTATGTGCAACATGCATATAGGTATGGCAGTAATCTGGGCTTTGGAGATTGTTCAAGAGCAGGAATGTTGCTTGGCCTTCCCCCTCCTATTCTAAGGCACTGAGCCTAAATATCGTGGCCTAGCTGAGACAAAGAACTTGAATGCAGACTGGACAGCAACAGTAGTTTATATGGTTCAATTGTTGAGTCCTCATCTGCTGGAAATCAGCATGCCAAAGCCAATTTTCTTATTCAATTGACTGGGGTGGGTAATGGATCAGCACTTTTCCCACCACCCTCCATTTTCTCAAGACCAGACAATCCCTTGCCAATCCAATGAGCCAATGTCAGTGAATATTAGAAATGAATAAAAAAACTTTCACAAGCTGCATATGCCACACTAGGACCTCAGGTGGGACAAGAATGCTTGGGAAAGAATCATAACACTCAAGAAGTCTCTACACACCCAAACATACTTATGTACATGAAACCACATCCCAAATCCTCCCTCTCCAGGAGCTCATCCAACTGAAACATGCACGTTCCTTTTTATAAAAAAAAAACTCTTCCCAAGTAACAACGCACAATTTTAGCTCAACTTTCCTTTGCACAGGGTTACTCCAGATGGAGCGATTTAATGTAAAAGCATTTAATAAGGGAAGTTTTGATAAAAGTATACAAGATTATGTCTGGTTTAGATAAGGGAGACCAGAAAAGAATTTGATGGGAGCAGAACCAGGGAATGCAGAATTCAAGCTTTAACAAGAGATGGAAGGGGTACATGCAATCAGTAGCAATGACCTGGAATACATTGCCTGCTGCGATGATGGAAGCAGAGACCATCAATAATTTCAAAAGGAAACTCGGTGGACATGCAAAGGAAATAAACTTGCAGAGCAATGCAAACAGAGCAGGGTGAACTGGAATGGATTAGGCAGACAGAATGCACCAGATGGGCCAAAAGGCCTCCTCCTCTGATGCGATGTCTCGACAACTGTGTTAATTTCGGTACCGTCTGGGCCAGGAATTTTGACTTTACTCCCTTAAATTTAACTTGGTCAAAAAAATTAAATCAGTCAGTCGGCAACAGCAGAGTTACAAAGTCAGTCTGCGATGCTTGCAGTACATTCTACACAATTATTAAAAGTCTACTAACTCTGGAGCATTCTGAATTCATGCAGCAGGCAACAGGTAGAGGATAGCCACTGAGCTTGAATTGAAGGAACAATAGCCTCATTCACAGACATCTGATCCCGTTGACTGCCCACAGGTATTGTCCATCCCTTACCTGCTGCTGTGCTAGCTGTACCTGATACAGCTGCTGCATGTACTGTTGATAATGTTGCTCTTGAAGCTGACGAATCAGGAGTTGCTGCTGCTCAAAGTTGCCAGGGTACTGCTGGGCTGCATACTGCTGGAACTGCACTGCAGTTTGTGCGTTTAAGGCAGCCATGATCTGTTGCCTGAAATCAAAAGGTTCAGAGAGAAAAATTTCAGGTTTACAGTCCCTCACATTTATACAAGATGCTTACATTTCAGAAGCTCTCCTTGCTCCTCCTGCCAACAGCCTGTCAGGTTAACTGCTCCATTCAAAACTACACAGTCCGAATCCCAGGTTCAAGAATGGCCTCCCAGGGGTCACAGTTGGAAGCTTAGAACTGGGAGCCTTCCCAATTTTAGCCAGGCAGCTACAAGGGAGCCTCTGATATTGGTGTCTGCACCGCCAGAAAAAGTTCCTACGGCAACCCTCTATCCGAATGGAAGGTGCTGCATAGTGAACGACAACCTAACATTAAGGTTGAGTACATGAAGAATGGTCATTTTGGAGACATGCAAGGACAATGATACCTGCAGTACTGGAAATCAATCACCTGCTAGCATCATCAGACAGAGCAATTTATTGTGAAATTTTATCCTGGTGCTCCTCACGAACAATACTTGGAAGACGGAAGGTAAATCAAGCAAAAACACCTTTGGGACAACAGGTATTCATTTCCATAATACACCAACACAGACTTGATGACTGCCTGTTGGGATCAGGAGGTAAGAATGATAGATATTCACATCTATTAATGCCTTAAAACATGGCTAACTGTTCAGAACAGTAAACAATCAGTTCGGTTTTGAACTTGGACAGCATACATTGCCATCATTCTGTGATAGCAATCTTCCTCAAACAGCAACAAGTTAGCCACTTGACCCTTTTTGCTCTGGTGGTAGCTGTGGAAAGCTGTCAGTCAAGATATCAGGAGAGGTTCCGGCTTTTATTCAAACAATGCGATTCAGAAAATGGCTTCATTGATTTAACGTGCTTCAGTTTCGTGTTCATTCTAAGGCAAAGCTCTCCTTTTATATACTTGCATTAGTGTCAATCTAATCACAAGAAGAATGCAAGAATTAGGAACACAATCAGCCTATACAATCCTTAAGGCTGCAATAAAGATGCAATAAAATCATGATAGATTGCCAACTTTAATGGACCTTTAATGTGTCTAAAAGTATAACCTCATTACCCAGAGTCAGAGCTACTAACAGAGCCCAGTTGTGATTACTAAGCAATAGCTTTTTAATAATACAATGGTATACAAAGTACATTAAAACTGCTGACTGTTAACAACTCACTTTTGTTGTTCCATTCGAAGCCGTTCTTCCTCCAACCTCCTTCTCTCCTCCTCTTCCCGCCTCCTTTTCTCTTCCTCCTCTCGTCGCCTTCTCTCTTCCTCCTGCCGCAAACGTTCTCGTTCTTCTTCTTCCCTTTGTCGCCTCTCCTCCTCTTCTCTCCTGCATCCATAGAACAAAATGGAATATTCTGCAAAACAAAGTGGCCTTGGCACAATAGATGCATGTGCGTATTCAGTAATGCACACCAACATGAACAGACGTGGGCACCGCTTGATCAGATTTCAGATTAAAACTAAAATTAATGCAGCATTTACATTCCTTCAACTTTAAACAGAGTGAACAGCAGGGCTACGGCATTAAACCATGGGCAACTGGTGATGCAATTTGAAAGTTTACCGCTCAGGGAACTGTTCCTTGACTTACCATACCTGTGTAGACTCCTTGCTGAGGGGTAACCTTATCGACGTTTATAAAATGGCATGGACAGGGTGAATAGATAAGAAATTTTCCTGGGTAGGGGAGTCCAAAACTAGAGGGCAAAGGTTTAAGGTGAGAGGGGCAAGATTTAAAAGAGATTTACGGGGCAAATTTTTCATGCAAAGGGTGGTCCTTGTACGGAAGTTGGTACACTCAACATTTAAAAGGTATATGAATAGAAAGGGTTTAGAGGAATATGGGCCAAACGCTGGCAAACGGGCTAGATTAATTTAGGATATCTGGTCAGCATGGACAAGTAGGACCGAAGGGTCCATTTACATGCTGTACATCTCTGACTCTGTAACTTGCAGACCTTTGTATTTCAGATGCCTTGAAGTCATGCCAAAAATTCTTCAGCCTATTTTGTTAGTTTTTGCAGCTGCCCATTAGATTTTAATGATTTCTCTGCTTGGACCCTTAAAGGTTTTTACTTGTCTATTTTCTAGCTTGTTACCATTTACAATGGGATCTGTGGCCAAGTATAATGTAGGGACTTTGAAGAAATTTTTTCTAACACCACTCTCCACACCTACTAATTATTTTAAATTGATGACCGCTCATCTCAGGCTCTACAGGATGTAGCCATTGTTCATTAGCAGAACCTTGATTAAATTATCTGCATGGCATTGGAAACAGACCAACACTCAATTCATTTTCTCAGCATCTTGGCACTGATGTCAGGGCTGACATTGTTATGCCCACCCCTAATTGCCATGGTGCTACTTCCAAGATCCTGCTGAGCATCAACACATTGCTGTGGGAACGGACGTCACGCACCATGTTAAGGACAACAACTTTCCTTCTCTAAATTACAAGGTTAAACAAGCTGGCTTTTTATGATAATCTCTGGTCACTTTTTACTGACACCATTTAAAAAAAATTCAAGCTTTTCTCCCCCCTTCCACGGAGGGGATGAGAGCTTATTACGAGGAAAATTCACCAGGCCTCAGAATTATCAGTTAATTCACAACATCATTATGCTGTCATACATGTGAAAATCAATTTTCAAAACTACAGTTGTCTAGTTTTTATGAAGAATGGCTATGCCTGGAAATGAGGTGGCAGCAGGTTCAACTGCGACATTCAAGAGAACATTGGATGGTTATTTGGATAATGATAGTGCATCTGGGGAATAAAGGGAAAAGGCACGAGATTGGTACTAGATAATAGAGCTAGTGCAGGCATGATGCACGAAATGGCTTCCTCCTGCACCGTAATAATTCTGATAACTTTGATCCTCATCAGTTATGGAAAGAATAAACTATATTAAACACTTACAGTTTTGTGTTATTCATCACAGGCCATGTATCTACAGATTTGATATAACCCTACTGAATCAAGTGGTGGCATACATTTATTTTGTAATAACCTTCTTCATATTCCCACTGCCAACCCATCAACATTTTAGTTAATTTGATCCCTTTCTCACTGGAATCTGGTCTTTTCTAGTCCAGAAGTATTTGAATCATAGAGCATGGAAATAGATTCTTCAGTCCAACCAGTCCATGCTGACCATAATCCCAAACTAAATTGGTTCTATTTGTCTGTGCTTGGCCCATATTCCTCCAAACATTTCTTATTCATTTACTTATCTACATGTTTTTTAAAATGTTCACCACTTCCTCTGCAAGTTCATTCCACACATGAACCACTAAAAAAAAAAAAAATGCCCCTCATACCTTTAAACGTTTCTCCTTTCACCTTAAAAATATGCCCTCTTGACTTGAAATCTCCCTCTCTTTGGAAAAGACAGCTGCCATTAACCTTATCTGGAGCCCTCATGATTTTATAAACCTCTACAAGGTCACCCCTAAACCTCCTAAGCTCCAGTGAAAAAAATCCCAGCCTATATTTCCTTTTAACAATAGATCTTTCCAGTTATTCATTGGGTGCATGTGATTCTATTTTCCAATCATTGTCAGTTATTTGTCCCATTTAGTTTACTCAATTTAAAATGTGACTTGCTTCCTTTTCTTCTTAGATCAAGAATGTATGGATTCAGGAAATAGATTGGATGAGTGACAAATGATTGCGCATTCATCTGCAAACAATTTATATATTTCATTATTACCATGCTGTTCTTGCATATTCTCACATATCGTACATACCTGCTGCTAATGACAATGCTCCAAATGGTTGGAATGATATGCATTTTCTAATATGCTAAATAATGATGAGTCTGCAGAGCTCCTCCTGTATCTGATTTCCACTGTTTGGCAGCCACTAATATTGAAAATTACTTTTATTCCATCGTAAATCCATCAGGGCTCATTTTAATGAAATCCCCAGGATATCTTCCACAAAAAGCAAGTTGTCTTTAACGTTAGTAATCGTGATTTTTTTTAACCGGACAATTATTTTCTCTATATCTCACCATTTTCCATTCCCATTAGCATTCCTAACCGCAACCCTATCATATTTCCAGCAGCAATATTAAGTTTCCCAGTTTTGCACAAACTTAAAAACACTGTTGTGGCAACCAATCATTTCTTGGGATACAGGTTTGCTGGTAAAGGTCAGCATTCATTGCCCATCCTTGTATGCTCTTAATAGGGGTGCTGGTGAGCTGCCTTTTTGAACTGAAGTCCTTGAGCTGACAGCGCTTCCACAGTGCTATTCAAGGATTTTTACAACAGAAATAGGGAGTTTTGCTCATAATTCTCCTTGGTTTCCAGTTTGTTTTGATTTTTTTTTGAAAAAAGACTTTACCTACATGACACGGAGAAAGCAACCAGAGTAATCCTGCAAAATAGTTAGGCAGATAATTGGAAAACTACCACATCAAAACGTTGTGATCAAGAAAGGAGAGTCGTGGCAAGAAGGCAATATGAGAAATCAAACATTTGCATTTGGCAGATTTAAGCTGGCAACAAAAATTTTGGAAATCAATACTGTAGTGCCTTCCACAGACCTTAGACGCCCAACAACACGTGAGAGTCTCACACTTTTCAAAGCATAGACACTTTTGTATTATAGGGACCTGGTTGTTCGTGTTCACAAGTCACTTAAAGTCAACATTCAGTTGCAGCAAGTAATAAGCAAGGTAAGTGGTATCCAGGCCTTTATTGCTATATCTTTCCTTGGATATGGTAAGTACAAGTTCAAACTTAGCAAGAGCTGCTAAATGTAAAGATAGAGAAGGTCAAGTAAGTGTGGGACCCTTGGAAAAATGCAACTGGCGAACAAGGAGATGGTGAATAATTTAAATCAACACTTTTTCATTTGTTTCTATGGTAGAGGCTACAATAAACATCTCATAAGCAAGGTGCTAATGGGAAGAACAATCTTGTAACAGTCTCTACCACAAAGGACAAGCTATTTGATAGACAAATGGGACTGAAGGCAGGTAAGTTGAGAGAGACTAAAAAAATGCACAGCACAGAAGGATCTGGATAATCTTGTGTATGAAACAAAATTATCATGTAGGTGTGCCAAGTTAAGGCAAATGGAATTCTGGCCTTTATTGCAAGGGGGTTGCAGTTTAAAAATAGGGAACTCTTGTTACAACTGTATAGAGCTATGGTGAAGCTGCACCTAGAGTACTGTGTACAGTTTTGGTCCCTACATTTAAGAAAAGATGCACTGGGATGGGGAGAAGCAGGTTAAAAGAGAAACAACTAAGCTGACTCCTTGGATGAAGGGGCTGACTTATCAAGAAAGCCTAAACAGGTTAGGCTTTTATTCATTAGAGTTTAAAAGAGTAAGGGGTGATCTAATTAAAACATACAAGATCCTAAGGGAGGCATATGTTGAGAAGACAATTCCACAAGTAGGGGACAAAGTTATAGAATAATGGGACACTCATTTAAAACTGAGATGCAAAAATTGAGATGGAGGATAGCAAATGTTTGGAAACCTCTAACCCAGAAAGTTATAGAAGCTAGATCACAATGTTTTTAAAGAGGAGGTAGACATTTGAAATATCAAGGATATGATAATCTGACATGAAAGAGGAGTTGAGGCGTGGGGTAGGTCAGTCATGACCTTGTTGAAATCAAAAGTCTATTGACTCCAGTGAGAGTACTACCTCAGAGCAACTACTGACAACACATGATTGAACAGTGCAGATAAATATCCATCCTACATCATTTGACCTACTGTTCTATATAAGCATTATGAGCTCCTTCTTAAATCACTATTCTGAAAAGGCAGGCAACATCTCTTACCTTTTCCTTTCTTGCTCCTCCTTCTCTATTTTATGGGATGTGACATAAGGTTCAAACAGACTGCAGCATTTGTTCAGCAACTGGACATACTCCACCATGGCACTTTCTTTCCTCATGTTGCCCAGGGCAGTCCATTCTCTCCTGATGAGAAACATTAGCATAGTGAGAAAAGACAATACATGCACTCATACAGGGTCCTACCAAACTTTGGGTGTCACAAACTACTTTAAATATAATGGGCTATTTTGAACTGCAATCACTTAAGTAGTCAAGACATTAAAGACCTGTCAGCGATATGGCTGATCATTCAATCTATCTCTCACACTGTTGTTTAAGAAAGAAAGCTACCCAAGTGCAGCCTGATCTGAGCTACTCCATTATTTAACTAGGTTGAGGAAATGGCTTGCAAAGAGAATTAAATCAGTTCTTTAAAGTAGTGGCACAACATTTTTAAGATCCATTCTGTCAACAGAATAGGCATTTAGTTGGATGTCTTCTCTAAAAGACAGTGCCTCTGGTAATAACGTTGGATCAAAGCAAGTCCAAGAAGAAACCTGCACTTAGATTTCATTTCCAGCAAACTGATCATTCTAAAGACTACCTGCTATTACAGCACCAGTTGTTACTGAATTGGATCCAAATGTGTTGGCTTTAATAAGACTTTGTTTCAACACTTCCTGGCATCTGTTGGGGCGGCATCGTGGCTCAGAGGTTAGCACTGCTGCCTCACAGCGCCAGGTTCAATTCCACCCTCGGGTGACTGTGCGGAGTTTGCACAATCTCCCCGTGTCTGCGTGGGTTTCTTCTGGGTGTTCCGGTTTCCTCCCACAGTGCAGGCTAGGTGAATTGGCTGTGCTAAATTGCCCATAGTGTTCATGGGTGTGTAGATTCGGGTATGGGTCTGGGTGGGATACGGAGGGTCGGTGTGGACTTGTTGGGCCGAAGGGTCTGTTTCCACACTGTAGGGATTCTATAAATCCATAAATTCACAGCAGTGAATTTGTGCCATCTTATCCCTGCATGTCTGAAAGTAATGCAGTAAGAATGCTTTCCATGCCACAAAGCAGCTTATGCAGCTCTACTGGATCCCTCAGAAACATCTCTTATTAAACCAACACAGCAACAGTAACGTCTCCTTGAGCCCACTCTGTCCTCCAATTTGGTCAAGCCATATCCATGACAACAAGGTGCAGGGCTGGATGAACACAGCAGGCCAAGCAGCATCATAGGAGCAGAGAGGCTGACGTTTCGGGCCTAGACCCTTCATCAGAAAAGCCATATCCATAGCTCCTTTCTAAACATACAAATTATATTCCATTCAGCCCCTCAAGCTTGCTGTGCCATTCAATAAGATCACGGCTGATCTGTTGGTATTGAGAATTCCACATTCCCATCTAACCCCGATAACCTGTAATTCCCTCGTCTAACAAGAATGATGTATTCATCTCTAATTTTAAGGACCCAGTGCTTGATTTGATTTAGTTTATTATCACATGCACCTAGTTACAGTGAAAAGGTTTTGTTTTGCATGCAGTACAGGCAGATCACAACATACAAAGATCACAGGATGCTAGAACAAAGTTACGGCTGCCAAGGTGCACAAAAAGCAATATTAACATTAGATTTGAAATTTGAGAGGTCCATTTAGAAGTCTAATAACAGGGGGAAGAAGCTGTCTTGAACCTGTTGGTATGTGTGTTTAAGCTTTTGTATCTTCTACCTGAGGGAAGAGGTTGGAAGAGATTGGAAGAGATTATAAGCAGGGTGGGAAGGGTCTTTGATGATGTTGGCAGCCTCTTCCAGGCAGCGATAAGTGTAGATGGAGTCAATGGAAGGTTGGCTTGTGAGATGATCTGGGCTGTGTTCAGAGGTCTGTAGTTTTTACAGTCCTGGGCAGAGCAGTTGTCATACCAAGAGCTGGATGAACACAGCAGGCCAAGCAGCATCAGAGGAGCAGGAAAGCTGACGGTTTGGGTCTAGACCCTTCTTCAGTTGTCATACCAAACCTTGATGCATCCAGATAGAATGCTTTCTGTGGTACATCTCTAAACATTGGTGAGAATCCTTACGGGCATGCAGAATTTCCTTAGCCTCTTGTGGAAGAAGTGGCATTGTTGCGCTTTCTTGACCACCACATTAATGTGGCTGGTCCAGGACAGATTGTTGGTGATAGTCATTCCTAGGAATTTGACGCTCTCGACCATTCCCACCTCAGCACCATTGATGTAGATGTCAACTTACTAGAGAAGGTAATAATCCAGAGATACTAACCTTTAAAGTTTTGGTTTGTAATTTAATGCCAATCCTCAGTCTCAACGCTGAACCTCTTTCCTAGTTTTACCTATATTCCCGGCACCTACCTGGACGACTAAATCCTCCCCCTTCCACTGCAAGTTCCTTTCCATCCCGAGCAGATATCCTCAAACTTGGCACCAGGCAACACAGCTGTCTGGACTCTTTGCTGCAGAGAATGGAGTCAATGCCACCACTAATATTACATGCCTTGTCGCTGCCCCACTTGAATGGCTTTCCTGCCCCATGGTCGGTTTTCTCATCCACCCTGCAGCTCCCACTTTCACTGAAAGAGGAGAGAACCTCAGACCTACCTGACAATCGCAGAGGACGACACGCTCAGTTCCCTTACCCACCTCACTCTGTCACACTCTCCTGTCTCTGACCAAATCAAAAAACCCTCATCTGTGTGTGTGAATACCTCCTGGTACAAAGAATCCACATAATTTTCCACCTCTCTGATGTGTCAGCGTTTGCGGTTCAGCCTCCAGCTCAAACTTTGAACCGAAGCTGTACAAACTTCAAACACTTGCTGTAAACATGTTTGCTCTAGATCACAACAGTACTGAGGAGTTCTCACACTGCAGACACGACAGATCACTTATCCTGCCATCCCTAATGAATTAAATTAGATGATAAGACAACATGTCAGTGAATAATATACGTTTTATCAATTTTCCCACCAATTTATGTGCAATGTAAAATTTTAAGACCTTAACATTTACCACAGACTCAGCAAGTGGCTATCCCCTTTCTCTGTACTACGGTAAGAGCCAATTCCAATCAACTCCAGTAAATCTAGTTTGGCCTCTATCTGCCACAGGGTCATTGTTACCACTGCTCCACTCGGTTCTGCCGACTGCCTGTTTAAGGATCCTTAATGTCACCTCACCCGCTCCTCTATTGATGCTGACCGTCTGTCTCCAGGTCATCACCTCACCCATTCCTCCAGATGATGCTGACTTCCTGTTTCAGATCCTCCTCTCACCTGCTCTTCTAGGTGCTGCTGACTTCCTTGGGGACCTTGTCTTACCTTCACCCTTAACTAAGTATCTACATTGCACTGAGCTGAAAGTTTCAATTTAACCCAGTATCCAGTCCTTTGGAGGAGCAAGTTCCATTTACACTACCAAAGTTCAAGCTTATCAATCATGCCTTACCTCTTGAACCCCCGAGGCTCAGCATATTCATTCCCTCTGCTGCACTGAGGAGTATAAATGCAGGGAAGCATTACAACAGGATTGATCAGGCAGCACCTAGAGCACTGTACACAGTTTGGTCTCCTTACTCGAAGAATATATTGACTATTCACCAGCTGGTTAATGGGATGAAGGGTATGTTTTACGATCAAAGGCTTAGCATGAGAATGAGAGGTGATACTACTAAAACACAAGAATCTGAAGGGGATTACATGTATCGATGTTGAGACAACTAGGGGCATGTTTTAAAAATAACGAGTCCAACATTAAAGGAGATGAGGAGGAATTTTTTCTCAGGGGTCATTAGTGTTTGAACTTTACCTCTAGGCAGCACTGGAGACCAGGTCATTGAATATATTCAAGGCCAAGTTCACTGGATATGATTGACAAGCGAGTCAAGGGTCATGGGGACTGATAAGAACGTGGTGTTTAAGCAACAGTCAGAACAGCCTTAATGTGTGAAAAGTGGAGCAAATAGGATGACCAAATGGCCTCCTTCTGCTCCCAATTCTTGCGATCTCTAATCTCTTGGCTTTTAAGTTAGTATCAGACAACACAAATAACTTGGTTGTGGATTATCCTACAGAACAAAGAGTATGAAATACAGAGCACTTTCCTTTATTTGTTCTTAGGACATCGCTAGGCTAGTATTTCTTCGCCTGGCCCATAATGGCCGCGGAGCATCTCTGCCTGGCCTGCCTGTAAAGGCCAGCCTAATCTCCTATTCACTGCCCATTTCAACTCCAACCACCCCCCCAGCGCGCGCACGCGCGCGCACACACACACACACACACAAACTCCCCCTCCAACACGTCCGTCCTTGGCCTCCTCCAGTGTTGCAGCATGTCTTAGCCTGCATTTATTGCTCAACTCTAACTGCATTCAAAGTGAGCTGCTTCCTCGGCCAGCTCAAAGTGGTTAGTAGTCAGCCGTTACATGTAGACTAGGTAAGGATGGCAGATTTTTTTCCCCCCTGAAGTATATTAATGTATCAGATCGGTTTTTATTACAGTTGCATGATCATTAATGCAACAAGCTTTAAATTCAAGGCTTAACAATGGAATATAATTTCACCAGAGTTTTACCTTACAGATGATGGACAGGCTTTGGGAAATCAGCCATTCACTGCAAAATTCTCAGCCTTCGACATGTTCTCGTCAACACAGTATTTAAAGGCTGGTCCAGCTAAATTCTGCTCAGAATACTGCAGGTGACAATTGGCCAGCTTCAGTATAACCTTAGGGTGTAATCTCAAAATGGACTGGAGGGGTACACTGGAACAGGAATAGGCTGTTTTTCCCTTCAGTGTTGTTCTACCATTCAATGAGATCACGGCTGATCTGTGGCTCATCTCCACATAGGCCACAGAAGGAAATAAAATGCAACCGGAGCAACCATCAGCTCTCCATCCATAGTTCTGAAATGTTAGCTGTACACTCAAAGTGCTGAAATCCAACATGCTTATCATAACATCTCCCTGGAAGGTGCAGAATCATCATGGTTCACCAGCTGTCTAGTTGAGTATCTAGCCCAATGCCACACCTGGTGACCAATTGTGCCTTCTTCCCTTCTGCCTGCTTATGGCAAATAAGACTAATTAAGATGTTGGAAAGTAGAGGTTTGACCATGATTAGTGCTAGGATGGAGATT